GAGAGAGAGAGAGAGAGAGAGAGAGAGAGAGAGAGAGAGGACGCACCGGTCGCGGAAGGCCACCGTGGCTGCTGGGCCGAAGGTCAGGTCGCCAGGGCCAGCCGCCCCACCCAGACCGCAGGCGCCGGCCAGGCACTCGAGAAAGAGGGCCCGCTGCTCGGCCAGCGAGAGCTCGCGGCCCTCGTCGACTGGGGAGGGATCCGCCCCGGGCATTCCGAAGGAGGGGGCGAGGGGGAGGCAGGCAAGGACGGGAGGCGAGGCGACGAGGCACGCCGGATGTGGAGGGGGCGAGGGGAGGTGGCTCTGGAGGTGGGCGCGCACACGGGGCCCCCCACCGACAAACTGGCTCAAGTGCGGGGACGTGCGTGCGCGCAGCAGGCGCACACGACCGAGGCCGGCCCGGGCCCCGGCCCCGCCGCCGCCGCCGCCGCCGCCGCCGCCGCTCCCGGGGGCTGCTGCCCGGCCTGCGACCCCGCCGGTGCCGCGATCGCCAGGGCCTCCGTTGGCAGGTGTGGGCCGGCCGGCCGGCCGGCCGCCGCGGCAAGGGCGCGCGACCGATATGGGCCGGCGACGCGTGCGGGCCCAGGGCCCGGGCGTCAGGCGCATGCCGCATCCACACACACACACACACACACACACACACACACACACACACACCCTCCCGCCGCTCCTCCCCTCGCGCTCCCCTCCCCCTGCTCGCTCCCCCTCCCCCTCCTCCCGTCTCCTGCCCCCTCTTTCCCGATGAGCGGATACCCGCGGTCCCAAGGCGGCGGCGGCGGCGGCGGCGGCCCGCCCGGCGGCCCGGCGCACCCGCGATCCTCGTTCCACTTGCGCCCCGGGCCCGGGATGTCGCACGGCCCGCGCTTTCCCTCGCAGGACAGCGCCCCGAAGCTGCAGGGGACACACTTCAGCAAGGACATCCAGCTGGGCTACGAGCCGCCGCCGCCGGTGGCTCGCCCGGCGGCCGCCGGCGGCCGGTCCGAGAACTTCCAACGCCGGACCCTGGACTACAACAACTCCATGATCCGGTATCTGGAGGTGCGTGTGCTCGGGGGTGGCTCGCGCCCGGCGGAGGCGCCCTCGGCCCCCTGCGGCCGTCCGGGCCCGCTTCGCTCCGGCTCCCTGGGACTAACCTCGACACATGGCCCCGCGTGCATCGGCCACAGGACCGAATGGTGTGGAAGAAGCCCGGCCAGCGCCCGGCCGCGCACCCGGACTACCGCTTTGAGATCCACGTATGCCCCCCCCCCTGCATTTGTGCTCCGGCCCTGCCGGACATCATCGTCCGGTCGGTCAACTCACCGCTTTGCCCCTGCCCCGTGCCTGGGCGTCCCGTTCTCCTGCCCGGCGCAGACCATGCCCCCCATCGCCAAGCCCCAACACTCGGCGGACCTCCTGCTCTCGCGGTACATTTACGACGCCAAAAACCACGACAAGTACCATGTCACCTCGCTCTCGGTGCGCGCCGGCCTCGCACACCTGCCCCGGGCGTGGGCCCCCTGCCTCGCACCGGGCGCCCGCACACGCCCGCACACGCCCGCACACGCCCTCACACACCCATGACCGATCGTGCACACATGCATGGATGCATGTAGTTCCTCCCGGACGGCCGGCGCATGGTCACCGGCAATAGCCATGGGCAGTTGACTCTCTGGAGCTCGCTCACCTTCAACTTCGAGAACATTGTCCAGGCGGTGCGTCCCTGCGCGGTGGCCGCTTCATCTCCCCGCGCGCCCTGGTTTGCCGCCCGCCAGCTGGCCCTGGCCACACCTCGCTCTGACGTGCCCCTCCCCCCCCGTCCCCCCCCGTCCCGCCCCGCCCTTCTGGCCGTAGCCCGCCTTCAGCTCGCCGATCAAACGCCTGCGCTGGCATCCTGTCGAGGACACCATGATCGTCGGCATGAAGGGCTTCATCAAGTACTATGAGACCAACTTGAACTGCGTGCGCGAAATTGCCCCTGCGCACAATGACATGCTGGTGTGCGATGTCTCGTGCGTGCCGCCGTTTGCCCCGCTCGGCCGATCTTGCCTCGCCGTGTTTCCTGCCCCGGCGCTGCTCGCCCTGCCCGTGCTCATCCTCCCGCCCTCCCCCCCCCCCCACACACACACACACACGCGCGCGCGCGCGCGCCCGCACACACACGCGCGCCCGCACCACAGCTTCGCCCCCCGGGGCTCCAAGTTCGTCACATCCGGCGAAGACAAGCACATCGTCGTGTGGGACTATGCCCTCGGGCAGCCGGAGCTCACGCTCTCCGGGCATGTGGACAATGTGCTTGGCGTCGATTGGCATCCACATCGCGCGCTAATTGCCTCCGGCTCGCAGGACAACCAGATCAAGCTCTGGGACCCGCGCGACGGTCGCAGCGCCATCTCCTCTCTGTGCGTGGCCTGTCTCGCCGCCGCCGCCGCCGCTCCCGCCGCTGCCCCCGCCGCTGCCCCCGCCGCCCGGACTCGCTGACACTTACCGCCCACCGCCCAGTCACATTCACAAGGATGGAGTCACATCCATCGGATGGAACCCGATCAATGGGAATTGGCTGGCCTCCACCAGTCGCGACTCGACCGCCATCATCTACGACATCCGCGCCATGGATGTCCTGCAAACCTTCTCGCTGGCTGACCGCGTGTCCAGTGCGTTGGGCCTGTCCTCTGCTCGCCGCCCCTATGCCCGGGATCCCCATGCCGTGCTGCGGCTAACCCTGCGTGTCTCTCGCTCCCTGGCTGCCACCTCGCGACCCGGCCCGGCCCGGCCCGGCTCGTCCCGCACCGGCTCTCCCTGGCCCCCTCCGTACCCAGGCCTCGCGTGGCATCCCCTGCGCGAGGACATCCTGGCCACCGGTTGCATGAACGGCACCCTGGCCTTCTCACTGATTGGGTGCGTGCCCGTGCGCCTGCCGGCGCCCGGCCCCGGGGGCCTGCCACGCGAAACCCCCTGCTCTTGCCCTTCCGCCATTTCTGGGGCCCTGACACGCGGGGCGCACTTGCCCATGCACCTTCTTCGCAGCCTCGAGGAGCCGCACGTGCAGATTGTTCGGGCTCATGATCGCGATATTTCCACCCTCTCGTGGCACCCGCTGGGGCATATGCTTGCGTGCGTGCTCTGCCTCCTCCTCCTCTTCCGCCTCCTCCGCTTCCTCCGCCGCTGGCCCATGCGCCTGCTCTTTCCTTTGGCCTGGGGCCTGTTGCCCCGGGCCTGGCCCGGGCTGCTGTGCCTCCCTCCCTCTGACCCCCTCTTGGCGCGCCAGCTCCGGATCCAATGATTTCCTGTGCAAGTTTTGGTCGCTCTCGATCCCGGGCGACACGCGGCCCATGTCCGCCCGGCCGGTGTACCGCAGCGGCGCCAATGCCGAGGAGGCCGCCGCTCTGGCAGCCATTCGCTCGCAGACGGCCCAGGCCAATGCCGCGGCGGCGGCCATGTACGCTGGTGGTGGCGGCGGCCCCGGCGGGCATGCCGGCCCCGGGGCCGGCGGCCCTGGCGGGCACCAGGGCCAACGCTATGGCCCAGGCGGCGGCGGCGGCGGCTCACACCGCCCGTACGGCGGCCCGGGCGGCAACGCCGGTCCGGGTGGCGGCGGCTACCAGCCTGCCTTCCGGTTCCAGGCGCACGGTGCAGGCGCCGGACCGGGCGGTGCCGGTGCTGGGCCTGGCTTCGGCCCACCGGCGCCCTCCCACCAGCCGGCCGGGCATCATCGCTCTGGCATGTGAATGTACCCCTGTGTTGTCGTTTTCCTGTCCCTTTGCTGTCCCTTTGTTGTCTCTTCTTTTTCCCGTTCCCTGCCTGCCCCTCCTCTTGGACCATCCAACGTGCGCCCCTCCCCGTCGGAATACATCACACCAGAATGCACCCTTGGCATGCGGAGGAGAAGGGACCCGCGAGGCCCAGCGGAGAGAGAGAGAGAGAGGGGAGGGGGGAGGGAGGAAAACGGCAAGCGGAGGGAAACCTCGTATTGAACAAGTACACATGGGGGGAGGGGGGGGGGGGGGGACGAGGGGCCGGCGCCCCGGCGGCTACGTGGTCCCAGGAACCACCGGCGGCCCGAGGCTCCGGTCGCACTCGTCGATCACGCGCAAGTGGAAAACCCCATTGGCCCGCCAGTGGTCGACCACGGCCCGGACGGCGGAGTCCCAGGCGGCCGCGCGTCGCAGGGACCCGGTGGCCGCGTAGATCCGCCGGACCCGGGCGAAGGCGGCCACCGCCCGGACAGCCCGCGCCTCGAGGGCCGTGTGCAGGCGCCAGAAGAGCAGCGGCGCCGCCTCGCCGGTGGCCACCACGATGGACGCCATGTCGGACATGACGTGCAGCAGGGCCAGCCGGGTGTCGGTCGGGGTTTCGGCGATGCTGTCCTCCCCGGCGGCCGGGCGGCTGAGCAGCACCGGCAGGCCGTCCTCGGTGATGGCCGCCGTGACGGGGACCCCGGCCGCCGCGGCCCGGGCCACATCAACCCCCGGCAGGCCGTGGAAGCCGGCCGTGATGTGTGCCACCAGCAGCCGGGCCAGGGCGTCCGGCACCCGGTCGATGGAGTGCTCCTTGCTCCAGCGCAGCATGCGCTGGCCGTGGGTCAGCAGCGACAGCACCCATGCCGTGGACATGGCCACGAAGGCTGTGCTGGAGTCGGCCCGGCAAATGAGCGCATGCAGCTCGCTGACCAGGTCCTCGGGCAGCTCGCGTGCCAGCTGGGCCCCGGCGTCGGCCAGCTCCCGGTCATCGGCCGGCCGGGGGCCCGGCGGGCCGACAGGGCCCCCGGCCGCCGGCCTGGCCAGGGCACCGGGCCCGGCGTCCGGGCTGGCCAGCGCCACCACCGTCGTGGTCGCGGCCGTGGCCGTGGCCGTGGCCGCCGATGATGACCACCCCGCCGGCCGGGGCGGCGCATCATCGGCGGCGCCCGGGGTCACCGCCTCGGCCGAGGCTGACACAGCGGCCGACGACGGGGCACCGGTCGGGGAGGCCGCCGTGGCAGCCGCCGCCCCCGGGGCCAGCAGCCCCGACACAGGGTCTCCAGTGGCCGCGATGGCCGGGCTGCTGGCGGCCGCCTGCCGGGCCCGGGCCCGGGCCGCCTCCTCGCGGACCAGCGCCAAGAGGTCCGCCCGCGAGGGGGGGATCCACACCGGGCCGCTGCGGTTCAGGAGGAAGGGGAACTCCGGCCAGGAGTCCAGCTCCTCCAGGGAATCGGCCCGCGACAGGTGGAACAGCCGCCAGCGGTAGTACGCATGCTCCGGCGAGTGGAAGTCCTGCAGGAAGGCGTAGTCCGGGTTCCGCGCGAAAAAGTGGGCCATGAACGCCTCGAAGGGGTAGCCGCGCTCCAAAACCGCCGACACGGTCCGGTGGATGCGCTGCCGGGTGTCCGGGCATTCGGGAATCCGGACCGGCACCTCCCAAAGGACCTCCGGCGAGGGGGCCACCCCGCAACGGCCGACCGGGCCGCCGGCCTCGTGTGCCGACGCGTTGCAGGCATTCCGAGCCCCCTGCCGGGCCAGGGCCCGGGCCTCCTCGCTGCGGTCGGCCCGCAGGAGGCGTGCCCCGAAGAGCTGGGGCAGGTTGGGGTCTGGCGGGTGCATTGTCAGGGCACGTGAGAGAAGAAGGGCCAGCAGGGCGGGGAGGAGGCCGTCCGGAGGGGCGGCAAGCATGGCGCACCGTAGATCGGGTCGCCTGTCACGGCCACCGGCTTGGAGAGGTTCACACGCAAGGTGTGCCCATTGAATAGGGCGCCTGTGGGATGGCGAGCGGGCAGGGGTGGGAAAGGGCGGGGGGGAGGGGGGGGGGGGGATCAGACACCTGGACAAAGGCCCGGCATACGGGAGGAGGGGGCGAGGGTGAGGGGAGAGCCCGCACCGTTCATGTGAGACTGGGCCTTGTCGGCCGACCCGGTGTCCATGAAGCAGATGAAGGCCGTGCGATGTGGCTGCGAGCGCTCAAACTGCGCAAATGCACGCGGGAAGGGTTTGCGAGGATGCCGCAGGGGCGGGGCCGGTGAGAGGGTCGGAGGGCGAAGGGGCGGGGGGG